GCCTTCCCCTTCACCCGCTCGTAAAATCACGCGTTCTCGGTAGCATCGAGGAGGACTTCTCAGGACCGAAAAGAACTGAGGATTCGAATGGTCTCTGGAAAAGTACGTCGCAGAACTGATTAGGACTTACCAGGTCCATCTAGGTCTGGAGAGATCTTGAAAGACCTGTGTACGTCCAATCAGAACCAAATCCTCGACTCGGGCCGATTATCATGTGGTTTGAAGCATTCGAATAAACACCAAACTCTTCACATCAGTGATCCAGCTCAATGGCTGAAGAATATAATAGATGTCAATAATCATTTTAAAAAATATATAATAGATATTATGAGACGAACTTTGCACGCCAGTTTTGTCGCAAATTAACAGGCTATAGATTCCAATAACTAACTGATCTATAATTGAAATTGACAGCATTTTTTATGCTAACCTAGTCATCTCATGGTGATGAACCTCGCTGTGTGCATTTATTCATTAAATTGAATGAGTCAATTAACATTATCACTATCGGTCGAGTGAGCTGAGTGAGTGTGACTCACTGACGTTCCATTACGCGAAGAGAGGAGAATATGAAAAAGGCGATGTTGTAGTTTATTGTCTGAAATTATGAATGACCACGAATTATTCATTATATATGCATTAGCGATTATAGTGTTGAGTATAATAGAGACGTGGGGTATGAGGCCGAACAATTAGAAAAAATAGAGCTACAAGTGAAATTTGGGGCGAAAAGCACCAAAAATTATTGGACGATCTGATAAGTTTTATAGAATTCACCTGTTTTCTTCTTTCCATTTCCTTCAGACTCACTTTTTTTAATGTGTAAATTGTATAAATTTTCCGAATTATCATCTTATGTTGAGCATTCGAATAAAAACGAAACTCTTCCCATGAGGTGATCTGGGTCAGTGACTCTTGTGACTCAAGACTATAATAAAAAAACAAACAATAGATTCTAATAAGTAACTAAACTATTAATGAAATTGAAAGCAGTTTTTATGCTAACCTCAATTATCTGATGGTGATGAACCTCGCTGCGTGCATTTAGTCATTAAATTGAATGAGCCTATAAAAAATTATTACTATTGGTTGGGTGAGCTGAGTGAGTGTGAATCCCTGACGCTCTAATACGCGGAGAGAGGAGCATGTGAAAAATCACTGCTGTAATGTATTAAATGAATTTATGAATCACCGCGTGTAATTGTATATTCGTTAGAGATTATATTTCGGAATGTAATGAAACGTGGGATTGCAGGTTGGATAATTAAAAAAGGTATCGAGTGAAATTTGAGGTGAGGAGCGCCAAAAATTATCGGACCATTCGATAATTTTCATAAAATCAACTGAATTTTCTCTTTCCATTTCCTCGGACATGCTCTCTCGCTCACTCGTGCACATTCGAGCTACTTTTACCAATTATCGTTTTATTTCGACTCCAATTGAAACTGAAGTCTTCATTTCACTGACTGTCGGGGACTTGAGAATATGATAATGGATAATAGTTTTAAGAAAAACTCACCAATTATGAAAACATCGAATAGGTAATTGCACTGTTGATGATTAGATCCATGAGACAGTTTGTCAATAAATTTACAAGTATTTATTGCTGTAAAAATTAACGGAATTCTACTAGATTTTGAATACTTCATTCGGTTAAGACAATAAAAGTTTCAAAATCGTCGGTTTCATTTAACATTTTTTCTGATGATTCCCTAATCTGATTTATTTTTTTGGTTCAATCAAAACTAGTTCGAGGAAATATATTTTTCTCTCAGTCTTCAAAAGTGCATGGTGAGAAATTTCTATTCTTTAGAAAAATTAGAGTGCAAATGTTGCAAAAAATCACAATCGACCATCTAAAAAAAATTCTACGGCTTTTTGATGAAATTTCTAGGGATTTCAGAGAAAAATTGATTCAAGTACAAGAAAAATTGATGTTACCCAATAAAATTTCTAAAATTTTTAATACTCGACCACTTTAAAGCTCTCGGGGTATTATAACCGAAAATGTCATATACACTGTTAGAAAATTTCTGTAAATTTCTTCACTGACGAGTCAGTTAATTTCTCGAATATTCAGGTAATTCTCGATTGTCAGATCCATACGGCACTGAAAAATCTTGAAAATTTTGAAAATTCACGCAACCACTTTTCTGAATTCTCAATCTATTAAAAATTGAATTTTATGGGATGTTCAATTTTCACGATGAGATTGCTTTCATTGAAAAATCTACGATTGTTTCACATGAAAAACCCAATTTTCTTGAATTTTCAAGATGAATAACAAATTTACTGAACGCTTTCATTTAAATTTGAATTGAACCTCACACCATCGAAAATTCATACGACGCTGACTGAAATTTCAAGAAATTTCTAACAGTGTAAGAACGGGAAAAATTCCCGTGATACTCAATAAAACCCCTCCCCGCGTGAATATCAGAAAATCTGCAGAATCAGGTAGACGAACTCGGAATACGCTGAAGAAGCCCCTAGACCCAAGAAGAGACGCTTCACCTGCCCACAATTATGTAAGTTACCGAATCGGAAATTGAAAAAAAATAAATTACCCAATAAAGAAAGAAAATGGGGAAAGGGGGAAAAATACGACACATTTTACTCAATTCAACTCTCCATTTATATTTACAGAGTATTAACTCAGATGTACACGTTCCACGCGGATGGTATTGACTCAATTTCCTTCATAAACATGTATAATATATCTACAGAGTAGCATCACCATGCGTGTAAACGTGAGCACAATGTTACATATCCAACTGACGAAATCCGTGCAAACCCCACGGTGAAGTGGCAAAACGTAATAACTCAGATTTCGCAACAGATTTAACGAGAAAAGTTAACAAAAAATGTGTTCCAACGATTTCCCTAGAATAACTTATTATTCAAATGATTGCATATTCAACCCAAATGGACGTGCCAAGCTTCACCTCTTCACCGCGAAGTATCGCTTTCGTCGAGCGGATACAAATCCCAAATTAGACCCCATCCTCCACACGTGTGATAAATACGGTCTCCATAAAAAAAACAAAATAAATAAGATCTACAAAAACATATACGATTAGTTGTTGCTGTCAGGGAGGGGAACATTTATGGCTTATTGTGTCAGGGTTTATGCAGTCGATCATTAAACATTCCGAACTCTAGATCGGAACCTTTCCTATTAGGTATCGAAATTCGTTGTTTTTTTTTCCGATTGGAATTCATTCCAAGTACATCATCGAGGGCTGTTCGTAAAAAATCATCCACTTAAATGGCTGGACCAGTTGGTGGATTGATGGAGAGAGACTGGTTTTCACTGGGTACTCCTTTTTTCACGGAACACGTCTCCTTCAGAGACAACACTGAACTTTCACCTTGCTTCTCCGGGCTCATCCGCGCTCAGTGCACTTCACTGTGAAAAATTTTCGCCGTTCAAACTGACCCGTTGACCCACATGCAGACCAAAATCTCATTGTCCCCGATACGTTCGGTATTTTATTATTTTTTTAAACGTATTGTTCTTCCCCTTTGCTTGTTCAGTAGATGAAAAAAGTTGATGCTCCTGAGTTCCGTTGGCTTTTCCTTATCTTGGTCGAGCCAGTAGACTGGAAAAAAACCGGCAGATATCTAATGTTCGAAGTGTTGTGTACATAATTAATAGCTCCAACGTACACATAATTAACTCGTCGCTGAATTATCTGAGAATGATGATCTGATCCATATAAGAGTTAAGTTGGCCACGTGGATTACGCGGCGCCCGGTGAAAGTTGGATGATATCTCGCATTTCCGCTGACGCAAGTTGCGGTATAGAAGACAAGATATGCCGCTTTGATGAGAATCTATCTAGCAGCATCTTCCTCGAGAGCATTGCCTGAATTTTCTGTCTATGATTACACGATTGCAGTATTCTTTCTTCAAAAAAAATAAATATTAACGATAGAGTAGTTTGAGCGTGCTTCACGAGGATTTCTCGGTTGTCTTCTCAGTTGTCTCCTGCTCACTCACTTTCTTCAAGTCCTCGCTGTTCCCCTCGCTGTTGGCTGTCGATCTGACCTCCTTGGTAGACTCATCAGTGTAGTTATTATTGAAGAAGAGGGCAACCTCCTCCGGATTCATGACTCCCTCGGTCTTGCCTTTCATTGTGGCTGTAACAATGGAGGAAGCCGCTGCATGAGCCAAGTCATCGTCATTGTGCTCGTGAGACTGCTGGTACTCCTGCTGATGGATCTCCATGAGGTGCTGCTCCTGGGGGGAACCCTGGATCTCGACCAACTGGTTTCTGCCGCGTTCGCCTGGCTGCTCGATAGCCTGAAGAATATCTTGCAAAAGGCCGTCTGAGAGAAGCTGATCGTGCCTTATCGAGCCGTCGGAGTTCTGTTGCAGACCGTTTGACGATTGAATCTGCAGGGAGTAAGTCCCCTTCGATCCCTGTATCTGGAAGCCTTCGGACGCACCTTCTGCGGAGAGGGTCTGCGCAAGGGCCAGCGCTGGTTCATTATCAGCGTTATGCAACTGTGTCAGCTGATCGACGTTGAGGGTGTTCGTCGCGACGAAGTTATTCGAGGCTTGGTTGTGGTCGTCCGTTAGCTGTTGGTCGTTGTAGTCCGGGGATCGCTGGTCATTGTAGCCTTGGCTGTAGCCTTGGGCCGTCAACGCTGCGGTCAATGCCTCAGCCGATGCCCCGTTGACAACAGTTTCACTGTTGTAATTAGTGACAGTCGGCGATGATCTCTGATCGTAACCACCTTCCAAAGGATTGCCGTAGCTGTCTTTCATGTCAAGCTGATGCTGTTCTACGTTCGGAGTCGAATCCAGCGCCAATTCATTGATCGAGGGAAGTGGGTACTCTAATATCGATGAAGAATCTGAGTTTCCTTGAGACTGTGCGAAACTTGATAATTGGATGGGTGTCTCTATTGGTTTCTGGTAACCACTGGCGTCGGGCTGGCCATTGAATAACGGAGACGCTGGGGGACTGCCATACGATGTAGATAGGAAACTGTGTTGATTGTAGAGATTACCTCGACCCACGTTTGACGCCGAGATGAAGGTGGTTGCTGGGCCAAAGTTTGGTGCGCCATAAGTCAATACTGGGGACGGTGTGTTGAAGGCGGTGAAGGAGAGGGGTGTGCCGTAGTTGACGTTTGGGGCGGCGAGGGGGGATCCGCCGGAGGATGGAATGCTTGTTGCAAGCCCTGCGGTGACTGTATTGCTCGAGTGGAAAGAGACGGGGTGGGACAGGCTCGGCGGCTGCTGCTGAAGGTTGAAGCCCGATCTTGGTGGGCCGTAACTACTTGCGGGCTTCACGGGTCCAGTCGAGTGAACTGAGGATGAGTAGTGATTGATTGTATTGAATAATGCGGGGGGGACGGATTCCCGGAATTTGATGGGGGCACGGCTTCTTGGAGGGAGGAGGGAGGGGGAGACACTGTAGGGGCGGGATGGGCCGTGATTTCGGGGGTGGGATTGGAAGGAGTGGTGGCGGTGAGACTGGCGGAAGCCGGCGGAACTGAAGCTGGAGCCGAAACCGAAGCTCGGACCGTGGAGTGTGTAGGGCCCACTGAGGGGTAGTGGTCGGCGCGGAGGGGGTGGTGCACCGAAGGAGTTGCCGATTGGTCCTGGTGGAGGGGCGCCGTAGGAGTCGTTTGGTCCTGGTGGAGGGGCACCGTAGGAGTCGTTTGGTCCTGGTGGAGGTGCACCGTAGGAGTCGCTGAGTGGTCCTGGTGGAGGTGCGCCGAAGGAGTCGCTGCCGGGTCCTGGTGGAGGTGCACCGAAGGAGTCGCTGACGGATCCTGGCCCTGATGGTGGCGGTCCGTACAAGTCGCCGACTGGTCCCGGCCCCGATGGCGGAGAATTGTAGCAGTTAGGGGCTTGTGCCGGTGGAAAATTCAGGGGGAGATCCTGGATCAGATTGCTGTTTGCGTGACTGTCTAAACCGGATGATGAAGGACCGTTGAAGGACGATACTTGGGCACTGGCTGTGGGCGATGACTCGGGAATGTGGGTTGGGTGTGCCGGCAGGCTCTGGGCCGCTTCCTGGATATTGTGAAGTGGCTCGGCATCCGGTAACAATGGAGGTGGCAAGCCGTGATCACTGTGACCGATTGACTGTCTGAGGCTGTGGGCCTCGGGATTGTTTATCGGTTCACCGTACGAGTTGCTTGGCAAATTGGCATTGGCTGGGTGATCAAGATTGACACTGGGTGGTGTGTGAATGTTTGCGTTTGGCGTCTCGACGTGGCCGGCAATGGGTTGCCAACCGTCGTATTTGATATCGGGGGGAGTTGGAGGAGCTGGTACACCCGGTGGTGGCGGCTGGGGAACCGGGGGGAGGGGGAGGGATGGTGGGGGC